TCTTGCTTTGTTTTACTTTCTCTTCCGAATGGCTCTCCACAATTCAACTTCTCCTTCTTCTCCAGGTATTTTCTCTTCCTCTACCATGTTTTTCTTCTTCTTCTTTCATATTCGTTTCATTGATTTCTTATCTTTTATCATGAGATCCTAGTTTAATCTTTTAGGATCTAATAGCATTTTAGCTTTAAAATAATTAGTGGGCAGCTTAGTTGTTCATCATGCGATCCTAATTCTTCATGTGAGATTTAAAGTTGTCCTGGGTTTATGACTTTTTGTTGCTGGGATTTCATTGAACTTCATGTTTCCTTTTTGGGGTTTGACACTACTTAATTTTGATGGTTTTAGGCACTAGAACATTATGTTGCCAGTTGTGTATTCGTGGTGTTAATTCATCATGTTTGCCTTAGTCATTAAAAACTCCTATCTTATAGTTTTCTTTTATAAAATTATTGATCAACATATTACTGAACTTAGACTTGAGTATGTTAATTTTGTTAGGGTTTTTTGTATCAGATTCTTTCGCTTCATATAGCAATAGAAGATCAGAGTTGTATGATAAAATGGAAAGGAGTTTGGATGAACATGGAGCAGCTTTTCTAAAACATGGTGAAACTTCGCAGTCACTGGCACTTTCAGATCTTTTTACTTTGAAAGATGGATCTGTTACACCTGTGCTTAAGGTAATACATGCGTCAGCTGAGCTGTAATCAATCCTTCCAGACTAGTGGTTAGTAACGGCTTTCCTCCTCGTTGCAGGCTGCAGATCCTCCTGTACGAGCCAACGTTTTGTATATGAGCGCAAAATACGCTGCTCTCATTTCGTAAATTTTGTTTCCATCAGAATGTGTTTTCAGTTTTTTTTATTAAATTTATGAACTACTAGCTTATTAACGGAACATTGACCCTATAAGTAAAATGCCTGTGCTAGTGACTTTTGATCTTAGTTATGTGTGATTTCCCATCATGCCACTTCAGCAAAGTATAAATTAGAACATCTACTTTAGTTGTACCAATTAAGAACTCGGCTTTCTGGTTAGAGTTGAAACAGGTTTCTATGGTTTATAGGACTTTGAGATAATTAATGGGGACTTATATTTAGTATTTCCATTATATGCTAAGCTCTTTTCGTGGATTGAGAGTTTTTTTTGGGGGGGGGGTGTCCTTACATGGTAGTTTGATGCATGCTTTTCTTGTCGCAGAGAGGCTGTAAAGCAAGTATTTGATCCATACTTTGACAAAGGTAATCTCTTATAAAGAAGCATGTGTTTATGCTACTGTTTCTTCCACATATTTCCTTTCGTTATTTAGATAATTCGTTGGCTTTAATTTATTTGATACTTTTTTAATAACAAGAGTAGTTTAGATAACTTTATATAATTATTCCTTCAGTTATTTGACAACTTCTGCTTTTTGTGTATTTATTCTCATGTGTTTATTTGCTTGTATATATTTTGGTTAGCTATCTGGTTTCAGAACTCTAGTTTGTACCATTTCAGTATGTTCCACGCCTCGCATCATATTGTACCTGTTCCTGCCTCTGAAGTTGAGGTATACTGCCTGTTGGAGCTACTTTGGCGCCCTTCTTTTCAGCTTGTTAGTCGTTGGGTTTGATTTTTTAAGCCTCTTTTCTTTTTTCAGATTGAAGCAGCTGCTGTTAAAGCCGTTGTGGAGGGGCTATGCCCTTTAGAAATTGTCTTAGACAGGGTAGTTTTAACTTCAACCGGCGTGCTCCTTGGTTGCTGGCAGGTTTCTTCTTCAATTATAGTCTGTTTTTTTCCTGCTGACCTGTCAAAAAAAGGATTTGTACTTTTTAGTGCACTGATAAACGCAATCTCTTTCCTCTCTAGGTAATTTCTGGAACAGATCCTGCAGACATTCGTGCTAAATTGAGAACGGCACTTCCAAAAGCTCCAGAGAAGCAACTTGTAAGATTCTTATGAAAATCTTAATTTTGGTCAAACTAGTAATATTCAAATGGCAATGTTGTGAATTTAAGGGCTGTGTTTTTTATGGCAATGTCTTGTCTTCTTAATTCTTATTTAATGGTTTTGGCATAGTTGTCGGGATCTGTCCGTATTTTTGGACAAAAATAAGAATATAACGAGTACTTATCTGCTTACTTTTGCAGTATGATGCTGCTATTCTTCACACATCTTTTGCCAGGCTTCTGAGTCACCCTGGAGCTTCAATCATGGTATTGTTTTGATGTTCTATTTAGTTACGATAATTTTTGAAGTTCTATTTAGTTACAGTAATTTTCTTTTTATTTTCTTAATTTTATGATATAACATACATGAATGAACATTGAGAGAAGTAACAATCCTTTTCATATTGCCATGATGGTTGAACCTTGAATTACAAAAAGGCAATCACTGTTGCAATTTTGTGAAAGCCAATTTGCGAACTTGAACATAATAAGGTTCCCTTAACTCTTGTACGAGTGAACTGTAACTTTATGCTACTCAGGGAAAAGAAATGGCTGCCAAATCTTTTTATATATAGTTTCATCGTTTAGGTCTAATGGGAAATAAACGTTATCATGAATCATGTCATCGGCTTCAAGCTCGTATTCTTACATATATGCATATAATGCATGTCTTATGCAGGACACCGACAATACTTCAAACCAGATCGAACTGTTCCATAAGCTGGTCTCTCTACTCAACAATAAAATCCGCGGATTTAAGGCAAGTTGGTATACTTTGTATCATCATTTGTCATATGCATTTGCATTGTTTGAATAGCTGCCTATGCATAGAAATCTCACATGTGCATGATCCTTATTTTTCAGTTAATCACTTTATAACCCCCCTTCTCTTCCACATTTCTTAAAATTCATATTCTAAATCTCTGAATCACAAAAAAAAAAATAATAAAGAACTCTGCAACTTCACAACTTGTCTTTGTCCCTATTGACAATCATGCAACAGCAACATGAAATTCTTTCACATACGAGTGATAGATGCAGTTCTGTTTTAGAGAAGATTTGCTGGTTATATGCAGTATTCTGGTTTTTGAATCAAATACCATAAATAGTTGAGCTAACCTGATCCGGAATTGCTTTGGATCGGTATGATATTTTAATGTCCTTTAAGAACAATTGTACATTGTATGTCCTTCAATGACAATTAATTTAAGTTCTTAAAGAACTTACATAATGAAGAACATACAAATGACTATACATTGGACATTGTATGTTCTTCAATATCTAAGTTCTTTAATGTTGAACTGTGGAACCTCGCAACCTGTACTAAACATGGCTCCGAGGAACTTTCAAGCTCATTTCGTGGACGAACGCCTACGGAATGGTATCCGATTTATCAATTCTTCCCCGTCATATCTTAGGAAGTACTTAAGCATCGAAGCTGTTTGATACATAGTCAAATAACATGAATATTGAAAACACGAACCCTCTTGTACTAGGCATAGCATTATTCTACCGGCTAGCACATGGTTGAATGGAAATGCATTCTTATCTTTGTAATCTATGTTTTCGTGCACTTCAACAATTATATATTACACACGCATATACATATCTATAAGATTTGTTTGTGTCTGATATTTGTACATATGATTCAGGCGACGGTGTCAGAACTGTGGTATGTAGAGGAATATGATGTGTTGGCCCTTGCCTTAAACGGAAAAATGAAGGTGCGCAGGTTCCAAATGGGTTGCACAAGAGGCTGAACTTCCAAATTCAGATGCTATTTTGAGCATATTTTGAGCATATTTTGAACTTCCCTTAATTATAACTCCACTTCTCCCGGAGGATTTAGCTGATGGCAGGCTTCATTGTACAGTTCATGGCTTTATTCAATATTCTAGCTTACAATCTTCTTACTACTCAATCTGGGATGTTATCAGTGAGTTTGATTTTGATATATATATATATATATATAAGACGTTATTAATGAGGATGTTATACTTGATATTCTTCTCTTGAATTTTTAAAAAAAATAAAAATAAGATGAAAATAACGGTTTAAGTAGTAAAATAAGACAATTTTTAAGTATTGAAATAGAAAGATAAAATTAATATAGAGGCGAAATTAAAAGAAAACCACTTTTACCCGCTGTGCTTGGAACAGTTTTTTTAATAGGAAATGGAGGTCTCGTTAAAAAAAAAACCCTTTCATAACCATCGATCTATAAAATTGTAATTCCATGGTTAGAGTACTGAATGAATTGTTTGTAAATCGTTTGTATAATACTCATTTATTAAGTTAAATAAACGAATGTGAATAACTTTTTTGTGTTTATTTAATAAACAAGCGAACACAAATGACATTATATTCGATTCATTTATGTCATGCACAAACTCGTTTGAAAGTTCATTTATTGATTTTGTTTATAATCTCGTTTCCTCTATTCTCCTTTAATTTTTATTTTTTATATTAAAATATTAATGAAGGTAGGGACTAAACTAACCAGATAGTGAATATTAGAGTTTAAAGTATGAAGTATAAGAAATTTAAGAACTAACGGTGAAAATTCACCATTTAACAAAAATGTTTATGAAAATACGAACGAATGTGAATACCTTCACAAATATAAATAAATATATTTGCGAAACCTAGACGAATAAAAATGAACATATATAAAAATAAATAAATAAATAAACATAATATTAATAATTTGAACTAACCGAAACAAAACATAAACATCTCAAAAATAAACAAACAACTCAAATACAAATACAATCTTAATGTTTAAGTTTGATTCATTAACACCTCTAATCCTCGACTGTCTATTTTAATCAGCAGTAGATCACAGTATCGCACCACCGAACCTACCAGCAATTTGTCTTACAAAGCTAGTTTTTACTTTGGCATCTTTAGCAGCTCTGCTTTACACATGAACACCTACGTCACTTAAACCCTACCACCAACAGCAACAAAAGCAAAGCCAAACTCAATTAGTGTTTTTCAATTTCTGGAGATCAGAGGTTTCAGAAGAAAAACAGTACAAAGATCAACAAAAAATTTGCATTGGAAATTGAAGATGGGATCTGGGACTGCAAGTTTCCTTAAGGTTCTTCTTAAGAACTTCTATGCTCTTGCTGGGTATTTTCCTCTTGCACCATATCTTTTGTTTCCTTTTTTGGGTATGTATGAATGTATGTATGCCATTGCTGGTTTAAGACTGCAAAGAGAAATACTATAACAACAACCAAGAGAAAAGAAACAGTTCTTTAGGCTTTATAGTCTACTTTAACCTCACGGTATTTTGTTTTTGAAGTAATTAGTCTGACATTTCCAAGTTGTGTTGTGTTTTTTTCTGGGTATTTTTTATAATGTATTTGTTAATTTGGTTTTTGGGTTGATTTTGCAGGCCAGTCATTAGTCTTCTGTACCCTCTGTGTGTTTCATTTCCCCCCTTTTTTCTTGGTATAGTTGAGATCTTGTCTTGACTTGAATTGGGTTAATTGTTCTCTGTTGTTGAATTCTCAAACAAGTTATGCCTCGGTTAGGGCGATTGAATCCGAGTCTCGTGCCGATGACCGTGAATGGCTTACATATTGGGTTCTGTATTCCATGTTGACGTTGCTGGAACTCTCCTTTGCCAGAGTCATTGAATGGTAAATCTGTTTCCTCTTGAATTATCAAGTTTGTATTGCTTGTCGATACAACATTTGTGGTTCCAACACTATCCCTAGAATCTGACTTAACTTTTCGCTTTCGTTTCGGCGTGCACTAGAGAGGGCGGTCCGCTAATTTGTTTGATGAAAAATATTGATTCTGGTTGGCCAACTCAAGGAAAAATGGTTATTGTGCTCATACAGTTGGCAATTTAGGTTACCAAACCTGTTGTATTCTTTAGTTAGCTTCTCATCCACTAGAAGAGAACCCATTTTTAATGTGGCTACTGATACCTTCTAAGGGTTTCAACCAGCTTTATCACAACATACTGATTCCATCAAAAAGTGGAAACCATTGTGATTTAGATCCGACTCGGTTATTATTGACGCTTGACCGGTGTATTAAATACTTGTCTTTGTATTGCTTTGATTGGTTTAAAGAAGGGATGTCTAGTCTATAGGTAAATATATAAGACTAGTCTTCGGTACTTAATCATGTCGATGGCTCTATGTATGATTTGAAAAGGACAGTTATATGCTAAAGCCTTCTTATCGTAATTATGCACGTTTAGAAGCTGCATTTGCCTGTTCCTTGCTGAAGCCTTTTAGAAGTCGAATACAGGATTCCAATCTGGTCTTTCGCGAAGCTGATTTTCACCTGTTGGCTGGTCATCCCGTACTTCAGCGGTGCTTCCTACGTTTACGAGCATTATTTGAGACCTTTCTTTATCAACCCGCAACAGACAATTAACATCTGGTATGTTCCGAGGAAGGACTTCTTCAGTAAACCGGACGATATTTCAACTGCTGCGGAGAGGTACATTGAGGAGAATGGAACTGAAGCATTTGAGAAGCTCGTTCATAGGGTATGCCATTGATCGTAATCGGATTCTCTTTCATTTGCATGCTTTCGAGAGCTGCCGTTCAAACAAGGATCTTCAATATGTTTCATCCATTGGTTTGTTCTTGTAATAATGCATTATTATTCCACCTGTGGTTTTGCAGGCTGACAAGTCGAGGAGTAGTGCCTACCGATATTGATACTTATAGCTCTAATAGCGACCGTATAGTTTGCCGTACTGGCGTACCGCGTCCCGGTAGTAACCGGAAGAGACTTCTTTTTGTCAATGTCAAGAACTATGGATGCTCTTAGGTTGCATTTTTGTTTTAGCTTGGAACTGTTGTATGGTAGATAGAGCAAGTTCCTAATCCTAAGTATTGTTTTTAATATTTGACGTACTTGGATATAATTAACTTGATTTCCTCTTTAGTTATGTGAAAATGATTATCAGAGTATTTCAGATTGTTGGGGTTACTATTGCTGAATCGCTTATTTCCAAAGTGGTATAAAAACAATGGACGGACTAACCCCACTTTACGTCTATTTCTGGTAAATTTGAACTACATGTTCCTCTATCACAATAGAATACTTATGTAACTTCATTTACTCTTTTTGATAATAAATTGAATTTTTTAATTTAATTCCTCAACTCTGTATTTTAATCAGTTTGGTCCTCTAGTTACAACTTTTTGTAAATTTTCCCCCAAGTTCTTGACTTATTTATACTCTCATCAACTTTTTACAAAGCTTGATTCTACAAGTTCTAAATAAAATTTGAATAATAAAATAATACTTGTAAACTCAAAATTTTTCTGCTCAACTCTCGATCGAATACTCGAACCTTACGTAAAACTATCCCCCACATTATTTTGTACAACTCAGACAGATATTTAAAATTTTACAGTTATTTGTACCAAATTGACTTTAGGAAGAGTTCCAAATCTCGAATTTTAAGAAGAGAGGTATGAACCAATCGGGTTTTGTAAATTCATGTATTGTCTGTTGGCGATGATAATGGTTGTTGAATAGTCTATTAGTTGGTTGAGCTTTTGGCACCATCTTATGAATTAATGGTGTTTTAGGATGTATTTAAGGAGTCATTCTCAATCACTCCTCTAAATTCCATTGTTAATTTGCATTTCTACATCTCTTGGGAAAATTGAACTTCTCCAATCATTCGAATGTAGATGGTTATGAAAAGAAAAATATATAAATTGAACATTTGAAAAGACATATATTTGTCTGTCGTGGAAACATGAGACAAATTGAGGAAGAAAAGGGGACAAGCCTTTACTGGTTAAGCAAATTTGTAAGGAACGACATCAGAGCTACTTATATCCATGGAATCTAGACGTTTAGACAGCCTCTCGCTCAAATCATCTACTTCTTTCTGTAATCTTCTTATATAACTGCATGTCTCCTTCAATACTCTCGTTGTTGATGATGATACCTACACGCGTCATAAAAAAAATAAATCATAGCCATGAAAAAAGATCTTTCTACTCATAACATTAAATCATATAATGTGTCCTCATTGTCTTTCAAAATGTCTGAATTTGATCATTGCAATGAACTCCGAGATTAATGAAGAGCTGTCAAATGCCAAGTGGATTGCAACAAACATAATATCAAAATCCGGTCGTTTCCAATACATCGCGGTCGGATAATTCGACGAAATAAAACAAGAAATATGAGAGTGTGACGAGGAAATGAAGGTTGTACCCCGCCATGGCGGCCACGATGGAGCTGAGGCGGCAATGCTTGAAGTTTTAGGACGACAGCATTGAGGTCGTCGTCGGTGATTTTGTTTGAAGCACTTGATCCTTGGCTAGACATGAAGAACCCTAGTTTTCTTATTGCTATCCACTTGTAATTAATAGTGATGAGTTTGAAATTGGAGGAGATAGGCAGTTTATAAAGGGAGTTTGGAGGATGAGATTGGAAGAATATGGTAGTTGATAAAAACATAATAAAATAAAAATATAATTATCAAACATGTCACATATTTCTGCATTATATTGGCCCACAACTATCTAGGTCCATGCATAATTCAGTTTTTGCTAATATTTTACTTAATTATGAATTATTAAATATTATTCCTGTACAGTTTAACCTATAATTTAAATATTATATAAAATTCCATTCGAAAAAAAGTATTATATAAAATAATATAAACACAATAAAGATACACGAATTATTAGTATAATTTTTTTAAATGGAGAGTGTAAATTAGAAAATATAATTTTTGTCCTTTATCAAACTGATCATACCTTATTCAAAACAACGCGTATATATTTATAGATATAATTATTCGAATTTGATATCTTTAAAAAGAATAATATCATTTTTTTATATTGTGGCCACAAATTAATTAATACTTTGTCTCTTTTATATATAAATACATTTTATAATAATCCAATTTCTTATAATTTAACTGAACTGTTCTAATTCCAACATTGGAGCATTTGTTTGCATGAACTTGAGCTCTCGACTGAGTGAAACCTAATGCTGGGTGTTGATCGATATATTACTAAAGGTGAAAATATAGTTAAATCGATGGTAACAGAATGAAAAAAAAATACTAATTAATTAATTTAAACTTCTAATTTTGTTTTTTGGTTTCTTAAAAATCTCAGCCGCTTGGCCCATAAAAATCTGATATAGATATGGTAGGATCTAGACAACTGTTCAGAGATTGCAACACTTGCTTTTTTCTTAAGACTAATTATAGGAACAAAATGATAATTACGGTTAGATCAAACTTAGTAGTACTAAATTGCGATCTCGGTTACGATTATGGTTGCAGCCATAGTATCGTGGTTGCAGATATTACGGTTACAACATGATTTATTTCTTAAATATAACTAAAATTTTATGTTACATATACAATTTATAATGTCACGATGATTTTGAAAAGGTTATAATGCAGCTATTAGATTGTGTTGCGGCCGCAATTTATTACTACGATGAAGCAATGGATTACATCAACCTGCGGGTGTTAATGTCAAATCAGCTAATGCCATGTTTAATTTAACAGGATAGAGAAGAATGGGAATGTGTAATGCTTATTCCATAAGAATAATACAGAGGGGTGATGGATATTATCTAGTTTGATTGGTTATGAATATTAAAATTACACATTTAACCTTTTAGAAATATGTAATGCTATAACTAATTTTGGTTTTGTATAAATTTTTAATTATAATTACAATGATTTTTCTCCTTTAACAGTTAACCGATAATTTATAATTATAATAATTTTGATATAATTAAAATTATATATATATTAATTTTTTTGGTATATGATATATTTATACATATATAATTGAAATAATGATTGTTCGTTTCAGCCAACTATATAATGTGATATTTGTAGGTTCATATAATGTTAATAGTAATATTAGAACAATTCTAATATTACAGATAATGAGCGATATCTAACAATGCATCATTGTTACCTAAGTTGTATGAATTCTTTATTTGACATAACCTTTTATGTGATTAATTTGTCATGTGCCTAATCATTTTGCCTTTTTACATTTAAAATGAACACAAGTTATTGAATAGTTACATTTGTATTGTCTATTTAATATTTCTTGATATCGTGAATACACTACAATAAACGAATAAGTATGATATCTCATAGCAACTTATTTGAATATCATCATGTACTCTTAGTTTCACTCAATCAAGTGACTTAAGATATTGCCCTTATTATTTAGGAGGGACAAATCTTATATTGATCAACCATATTCTACTACAAGGATTGTGGTATATCAAACATCAATCTTTATGGTACAATTAGTTATAGTAGAGGTTTGACTGTATCAAAATATATAACTTACGATGTTGTGATGATGATGATCCCAAGTGTGATGATCATATACATAATTATCATTATGAATAATGTTGAGACTATTCCATAATAATTCAAGAAACAAACTCATAGCAGGTTGAACCAATATGTTGTTCTCTAACACATATTTAAGGGTGTTCAAATAGTTAATTCGACCACTGATTGAATCAAATTTTCATTAATCAAATTTTTTTAACTATTAACCACACTTTTTTTTTGAAATAATAATCGAATCTAACAAAGGTTGATTAATTCAGTCAGTGATTGAATTAACCAAATTTAATATATATAGATATAGATATAGATTAATTTGAGTTTAATAGAGATATTTTTTATTTGGGTTAAAATTTAATTAGGCCGTGATAATTTAATGGGTTTAGTGTGGTTAAAAAATAATTGAATCTTAATTCTTAATGAGTTTGAACATAAAATAAATTTAATAAATTTAATATTTTTAGTTAATTTGATTAATTCAAAATAATCGATTTTAAACCAAATTAACCGTAAATCGAATATTACAAAATTAACTTTTTCTCAACCGAACTAATTCGACGGAGACCATTTTGACCGAATCAATTTGGTTTGATCGATTAATTTGTTTAAAATCGAAAAGTGAATACCCCTACACATACTCATGTATTGATTTTGACATTCCTATATCAGTGACAACATTTTATCAATTAATTACACTTTGTCGTTGTTATTGTTGTTAAAGATGTTGCGGAATACGACTATCGGATAGAGCAAAATCGCAATTGATAATTTGAGAAAATAAAAATGAAGGTAAAGAAGACACAAATTTTACGTGAAACCCCCTAAATAATATAGGGTAAAAACCACGAGCAAAGGTAGAAGAATTTCACTATGAGAAAATAGGAATTACAACTTCTCTCGATCTAATAAGGAGAAAACAATAACAATTCTCTCTTGATAAAAAGGGAAAAAAACTCTCAAGAAAACTCTCTAAATTTTCTAGTATTGGGATAAAGCTAGAATGATTTGGGATGGTTTTGAAGCTAAATGGGTTAGGGTATTTATAGTTGAAGCTTAAGGATTAATCTTGTAAATAACCTAAAGTACATGGACTAATTTTGCAATTTTCCCATGCCAAAAGTCATAAAAACTGCTGTCTAATTTTCGGTGCCTATCATTGTTGAAAATTTCATTATTTTATTTTTCAACAATTCATGTACCGAAAGTGCATGCTTTCAACAATCTCCCCTTGAAGATTTGATTGGAACAATCATATCTTCACACCATTCTTTCTACCTTGTACCATCATGTTGCTTACGTCTCTGACAGACCATAAGAGGATTGACACCAAGTAAATTTATTAACATTGAT